TCAGAACACTAGTGAGTTAGATCTCTATCTGATAGAGGAAGAAACGATTTAATTAGAATGAGTTACCATAATCGAGCAGCGATGAATAGAGGAAACTGTAATAAGAATGAATAATAACAGCAGATGTACTTAAAAAGAGATATATATGTAGCAAACATCGAAAGATATCTTTCAACAACTGCAAAGTGAAAAGCAAAAGAGACAATCAACACAAACAGATGAAAATGAAGAAGAGATAACTCGTGCTTCACTAAGCATGATAATAATATGTTTCTCGTCGATCTGTTTATTTTCAGGCCAGTAATGTTAGATTATATCTACCAGTCGTGAGCAAAAGATAAGGAAAAAGAACTATGAACACTCTGAGATCAGAAACGAGCAAATAACGACGCATGAAAGATATGGCTCAGAGGTAGGGGTTGACATTTTTCTGTTAATTTATTTTGAAACTTAAATTCTTGCCTTTTTAAATTTAAATAGAATATTTAAATTAAATTGAAAGCTTTTATTTTTTTTAAGCTTTTTCACAAAACAATAATACAATATTTTTATGATCACATATCTCTATTAATATATGTCATCCCTTATTCCCTAGTAAACAAAAAATAAGTGAGAATGTCCAACAAGACTAATCTAAAATGTTCACACTATCCATCGGATGTTGTCTGAAATATCTTGCATACCTGTCGAAACTGGTAGCCTTTTCAAGAAATGTCCTTCAATTACGTTAGGACTTGTTCAAAAAGTAGTTGCACTCGTTATAAGTCCATTTTGTTTGTTCATTCCGTTCAGACTAGTTATCATAATAGAAAAGCGAGAAAAAAATGAGACAAAAGGTAGATTCGAACATTGGGTCCAACAATACTCGATATCCAATGGGTCTTCTGAAGGCTAATTACAATTTAATAACAAGCCGATGTCATTTTAAACAGTCTGAGTAGCAAAGTATCGCTTGTGCATTTGATGTGTAATTAAAACTAATCGAAGTAAAGTGAGTTGACTAGTCTGAAATGTCGTCAACATACTTAACGAACCCATTTTTTTAATATATTTCATCATATTCAGTCTGTACCTTTGTGGCTTCGTTTGCTTCATATCACCGGGTAATATCGAGCACTTCTCTGAAGAGTAAATATTTGTACTTTTATTATATTAGAGGTGAAAAATTATATTGGAGCACAAAGGCGTACATGAAAGTACAAAGTATTCTGATTACTTCTCAACAAAAATTGTCTATGCATATTCTTCAAAACTTTGTAGACTAAAATAAATGAGATATTATTTAGTTTAAATGTAATTTTAATATCTTTATGCTATAATTTTCATTTTAGTTTAAATACAAATTGTAGCGTTTTAAGTGTAATAATATGCAAATTACATAATTTCGGTATGTCTTTTTTAGTGTAAAATTGTGATAATTTTAAATTGAAACAAATTTCAATCATGATGTGAAAAAAATAAATTTTTGCTTCTAATTTTAGATTACTTTTAGTTTATTTTTGTTTTTAACTATTTTTATTAGAGGTCTGCGGGACAACCTTTTTTATTGTCCCGTCCCGAATTTTTTTCGAGTTGTCCCGATCCCGAATGTCCCGTTCCGAATTTTTTTCGAATTGTCCCGTAAAATCCCGTTTGTCTCCTTAACTGATCGGAATATAGAAATATTGTTTTCCGAAAGACGAATACGTCTTTTCTATACTAATCATTAATGAATAACATGGATTCATATAGATAATTATTAGATGAACTAGCTAGCTTTTTATTTACGCAGTTGGCAGCGCAATAACGATCAAGGAATGCCTGTGAGTCGAGATCAAATTATTAATTTGCTACTTATCAAATGAAATATTGAAACATTAATGAAAATTTAGTTGCTTGTAGCCGAAGTGTAAGAAAAAAAGAAGCTACTTTTTGGGATATAACTTCGATTTAAACACACTCTCATTTCCATGTGCACACTAATTGATGCGCAGAATATGCTAATTAAAAGAAACGATGCGTTTAACTTACAGTAGCAGTGACAGATCTGATAAAAATAAATGAAAATGATCAACTTTGAAAGCATCTGGGAATAGTTTTTCCTTTGTTTTTCTATTATGTTATTTATTTAAATTTTAAAATGTTTGTTAGAAATAAGAACCCTCAAATTTACGGCGGGGTTTGATATGTGAATTTAGGAAATTCGGGACATCGATTTTTTCTGAATAGTCCCGATCCCGAATGTCCCGTCCCGAACAATTTTTGGGACAATCCCGAATGTCCCGCGGGACGGGACAAACGCGATTTTTCGGGATTCGGGACTGTCCCGCAGTCCTCTAATTTTTTTTCAACATAAAATGATTTTCCTAGACGTCAGCGACGGGAAAAAAGTTTTTGGAAAAATAAAAACAATATGAAACTAGTCCTGTTGAATTTTATATATCTAATTCTGCGTTCTATGATACAATTTTTTTTAATGATGATATTTGAAAAACTATAAGTAAAAGTATATCACATAACATCTTAAAATGTTTATTTGTATGTAGAAGTTGATCTTTTGATTGTATTATTGAGACTACTCCTAAGTCGGTCAGCACTTAAAACTACAGCTCATCGTATGCAGAGTCGTGGATGGGTATGGATATAGATGTTGACGGGTGTGCGTACCAGTGAATCATTGATGAACAATTTGCACTCACACCACCACACCCTATAATGATGTTCGGCTGTATATATTATTCAGCGAAAAAGCATCAATTACCTTTCAAAACCTCTTTCTGCTACTTGTAAGTACATTTCACTTAGTCTTACGTTGATCGTAGTCTTTTTTGAATCATTTGATAAGCTTCATTTCGCTGAAGCTACGCTCACATGTTAGTGAAGATCCAAGTAATGTGAATGTTACAGTAATCAGAGATATATCTGTTGGAAATGCGCGTTTATATAATGTTAGTTTTTTGTATAATGTTTTAGTGAACTTGAACTCCTTATCGTCCAGAATAGGTTGAATAACATTCAATTCATTTTTCAATTGATTCAAATCATAGTTTAAATGACTAGCTAATGAACTTAATGAGCCAAATTCTAAAAAATCTTCGTATACAGGATGTAAAGCTAGTAAACTTGTTGATAAATTCAAATTTCAACTAAAGAATCTATCATTCTATTCAATCAGAACACGATCAAACAAAGAACAACAAAATGCTTATTCGACACTAATGTTCATCATCGTTATCATCAGTGTGATGAGCAACTGTATTGGTAATAGTTGAATGAACAAACTGACTAGGTACCAGTCATGCTCGACGTCTTTTTCTTGTTTATTTTGAATCAATATTACATATTTTGCTGAAAAATCAATCATTTGATCATAAATCAATTTAAATGATTATTTATTGTAAAAATTTTTTCCTTTGATTAACTATAGATGACATCAAAATATTAGTTTTTCCATAATCAAAAGTTTCATCTAAATAAATCCGTTATAAATAATCAATTGATGCTAATTTGAAAGGCTTGTGTTTTTATTGATTTGAAAAAAATTTTTAGGTCTCATTACTTTATATACGATGAATAATGTACCAAGAAAAATTGGTTCTTTGATGGATATAAGCAATATTTTGGAATTAAATGAATGTAAATCTTCTGCAGCAATATCATTAAAAGTTTCAATAATAGCTGAATAATTTAAAAATAAGTGCATCAATGGAAGGATGTGGATACGTGAGTCAGTGTGGATGTCACTGAATTTGGGTATGTGTTGTATTGTTTTTCTCTTAATCAACATCTTACCAACATACACAACCTAACCGAAACTCACTCATTCACGCCCTATTTTATTGTTTTATTGTTTGTCAATTCTTTTGTAGATGAATACATTTTATGCTTTTTATCGACAATCTACATCCACATGTTTGCATGATATTAATAATACATTCGAGTTAGAGTACTTGAAAAGTATAAGTTCTCTTGCCTGAACAAGGATTAATTTATTCGTATGCGTATCTCTAATACCTGCGTCCACCTAGCGGGTTTAGAGTGCCCTAATTTGAATGAGATTATTTTGGTCTATTTGATCAAAGACATAAATGAGAGACGATTTGTTTGCATCATTTCTAACATTTTTACCGGTGGCAAACTATTGCGACAGAGAACTTTATAATAGAAGTCCTTGCATTTACATGTGTATGGAATTGATCTAGATTTCCAAGATTGTAGTCACCAAATGAGAAATTCATTTATATAGTAAGAAAAATTAATGGATTGGAATTAAAATAGAATCATTTCCAACAGTAACATGAGAGAGAAATAAAAAAGTCATTGATTCTCATCCTCAAGATCTATCTTTGATCGATCCTCACGTATCTCAAGAAAATTCTCTAGTTCGATTGAGTTTATGACAAAATACAAGAGAAGTTAAAAAGCGATCTTATGCAAGGATTGAACAGTCAAATGAGTTTTTGTGCACTTCTCAACTGTGTCGATCACCGATAACGCTTCTCTTCGAAACTACCTTGAACTAACAAAACTTTCGATGATTGTAGAAGCTTTCTTCATGGATAAAACTCAACTTTTCGACAACGACTTCATTAGAAATACTTCAAACGATGTTTCTAAATAATCTTGTATCATATATAACAACAGAATATTCGCGACACAATAGTTTCTTATGTCCAGTATTGTTTGAATTGAGAACTTGTTGTTGCGATCCCTGCTATTCAAATATTTCAAAAGCAGATAAAAAATCTTCAAAACAGAAAATCATACGAAAGAAATTTCAAGTAATTCATGTTATTTGTTGTAATCGTACTATGAATCTACATCTCTAGTCATTCGGTAGGTATCACAGTCATTCTTTTTTTTGCCTTATAACTTGATATTTAGAAAAATTTCCGCATGAATAAATTTTATTTAGCTGAAAGCATTGAATGGTGTTGGCAGTCTTTTATTGAATCGATCAAAAATTTAGTATAAAAAGTGCATCGATATTATCAAATCCAGAGTTCTTCATTACAACTGCTTCATTTTCTGTTTCCTACAGGCTTGGTACCCTTATGGGTAAACTGTTTTCCAGGTTTTGGTTGCGCACTAACACTTCGATTCTTGGTTTGTGTCAATTGATGCAATCCATGTCTTACTTCATGAAGTAATTGTTCATTTTTATCCATTTCTTTGTCTTCAGATTCATCTTCTACCTCGTCTTCATCAGCCTCTCTTGCGCAAGACTCCAACAATTGTTTCTTGAATTTTTTCCACCATTTCCATTGCTTCGTGAAATCATTTTGTTTGTAATGCAAAGGTGCGATAAAGCAACAAGTACAACAACGATTGAAACATGAAAGAAATTGAAATTTAAGAATTTCGAAGTCAGCAGCAAGTTCATACAACATATCAAGACGGTGATTCTTTGCTTCAGTCATCAATGGTTCAATTTCACCAACAGCCAAACCTATATTAAACGAAGAAACAGGTAAATTTTAGTAAACAAGAAATCGTTATTACCAATGAGAAGATTCGATGCAAGAGTAGTCATAGCGATTGCAAACAAAACAAGCATGACATAGCCCAATTGGTAATACGCTGTTTTCGAATCACTGTACATAATACCGCTGTAATCAATTTCACCGGTAATCATAATGGCTAGATTAGAATTCAATGAAAGAAATAATTGAAATGTGAAATTCTTTCAAAAGTTACCTGTTTTCACAAAACCGACAGCCACATTACTAAATATGGGAAAGTTTTGATAAATCATATAAAAAGTAAATCCAAATGCGCATATTAGCACCATAAGTACAGGTAGGAAAAGCAAAAATCGTATGGCAATAGCTTTCATCATGAAAACATAAATACCTATTATAGGTATATATTGAATATAGTAGAATAATGCAATATAGCCAATAAAAAGACCAAATGCACCAATTTGCCATTGTATTGGACAACGCATAGTGACATTGTTTTGATAGTCATAATCGAATATAAAATAAAAGTTTAATACGACTGCAACTATTTCAAGAAAAAATGTAAACGTCTTTGACCAAGCGATTCGCATGTAACTAACAATAGCCCAAATATTTTTTGCAAGAAGTAATCCAAGTATAACATACATGGTGATTTGAAGTATTCTATCTGATGTTTCTTTTAAACCACTAGAATTTAATGCTAGACTAACATTCTTGCATAAGTCAGAATCAAAATTAAAACCTGTCAAACTATAGTATTCTTGTGGATGTCGTGTACGTAATACGATGGTTGTAAATATAGCAAGAAAAGTGGCGTATAATAGAAATGCAACGATGAACAGAATAAGACTAAGACCAAGAAACTTTTGGTAAACGAGACTCTTGCTTAAAGGATGTGCCATCAGTTTATATCGATCATAAACAGCCATAAGAAACAGTGGATGGTTCATTACCAACGTCTTGTAATCGTTCGTATACGGTTGATTTTCTCGTGTAGCTTTACTAGTGCCACTGCTTGAGTCAATCATATTCATATCACTGTTGAGATTACCTTCAAAGAGTATAAAAAAATCAGGCATCTGTACAGCAATATTCAATCGAGAGTTAAGATAGTATGTATTTATGGATTTCAAATATTCAACATTCATTCAAATATTAAAGTTTAGATTCAATATTTCAATATTATTCAGTTGCTAAGATCTACAAAATATGGGTGGAACTGTTTTAATGTACAGAACAATCTGTTTTTGATTATAAATTATTTACAAGTGACATGATCGACAAAACTGTACAAATCTCAAGTAAATTTCGTTCTTGATTAGAGATCTATATATTTATTTTTTTTTACAAGTGAAGCTATCAAGTTTTAATTATTTGTTAATTGTACGTTACTGAAAAATGATCAAGAAAGACATTGAAACACAAATTCGATTTCCATGAAGGTTTTATAACATACTATTCAGCAACGACACTCTAAAAATAATAAGTACCATTTCGAACTTAAAAAAGTTCAGCCAAGACGACCAAACTTAAAAACGTTCCTCTCGTGGATCCACGAGAAGAACCTTTTTGGAGGTTTCACAAAGATCCTAAAAAGTTTTTGTACCAATCCATGGAATCTAAAAATGTTTCGCACGAAAGTACAAATCCTTAAGATTTGGTAAAAAGCCTTTGTAAGATTCTCTACAAAACCTTAAAAGGTTCTTCCTGTGGATACACTGGAAGAACCTTTTTTTTTGTAGAGTGAAGAGCGCAAATGCGATACTTTTACAAATAACTCAACTTATCTATTTCGGTCTTTAATCATGTTCATGATTGCTTCAATTGGTTTTTATCAGCCAATCACCATCTTTTATTACATATCTTCTAGACAAAGCAATCTTTCTCATTCACCTTTCTTACAAATATCTAGTGACGAAAAGTAATATGACACTATTTTGAAGTGACTTTATTGTTAGCATAAAATAGATTCGAAATAAAACTAGCATTTTATTTCTTAGCAAATATATAAATGATTGTATAATCTGACTAGGGGTGTCAGCGTTCCCCGTTCCTCGGCGTTCCCGTTCCTAGGAACGGAACGCTGGGGAACGGGGCACGTTAACATCCCTAATTTTTATGAAATTGGCTTTCCTTCGGTGAATTAGTAAAATTTCTGTTAAAAGTGAAAGAAACGTATATTGCGTTCCCATTCCTAGGAACGGAACGCTGAGGAGCGCGGAAGCGTTCCCCGTTCCCAGGAACGGGAACGGGGTAGCGTTCCTCGTTCCTAGGAACGGGAAACGGGGTGGCGTTCCCCGTTCCTAGGAACGGGGAACGGGGTAGCGTTCCCTGTTCCTAGGAACGGAACGCAAAGTTGACACCCCTAAATCTGACTCAAAAAGGCTCAATTAATGTAATCATAACTGTGGACAGAAAATTACTAATTCGATATTTTGTTTTTCCCATAGATAGACTCTGTATATGATTTAATGTTCTACCATGGACCTATTTCAGTATTATATTGATATTTCGGTTGCATTATCGAACACTGTTCGATCGAGTAAAATCATAAAATAACTCAAATTTTCTTGATTTAAAGTCGCTTTTACCGTGGATCTGTGTAGAAAATATTTGAAAGAGTTTCTTCGAAAAAATGCTTAGAGGCAAGAGTATTAGATCCTAGTAAATTAAATGCTTTTAAACAGTATTCTATATATTAGATGTGCATGTATTAACTGAGTACTTATTTTGAATAAATAGATGATTTTAGAGAGCATTTTCAAATCAGAAGGATTGAATGTAGGGTACAATTTTTCGTGTTTTCTTTTCGTAATTATTTCCTTGATAAATATCATTGGATCTACTGTTATTTGCAGCAAAAATATTGTCGATGCTAAATTTTTTCTATTTTTTGAAGGTAAAGTGGTAAAATGTCGAAGGGAAAATGTCGAAAGTGAAAATGTCGAAAAAAAAATGCCGAAAGTAAAAATGTCGAAAGGTAGGATGTCGAACGAAAAAAATGTCGAAAGTTGTGAATGTAGAAAAACAAAATGTCGAAAGTGAAAATGTCGAAAGCGAAAATGTCGAAAACACTAATAGCATATATTTAGTCATCTCTTTTATTGACAAGAATTTTAGCAAATAAAGCACAAGTCAAAAACTATTCCAAAAAAAGAGAGATGAAGAAACATTATATGAATAGATTAAGATAACAAAATTTGACAATAAGGATAACTATTTTAAGAGAAGAAAAAGAGACAATGAATAAATTAAGAAACAGAACTTGGCAGTTGAATATAATATTGAAAAAGCTATTTTCAATTCATTTTTTTTGTTCATATCTTTTGCGACGACCATCGACAAACCTTCGAGGTGTTCATTCAAATCAATTTCATTATTTGAAAAATGTCTGCATAAGACATCAAGACGTTTTTCACAACACCAATATTTGACCTTGGGACATGACTTGTTTAACTGATATACAAATCCATCACAAATCACACGTTTGCCTTCGTTACTTTGTGAAAAAGTTATGATAGATGTAGTACTCATGTTGACATAAGCAAAGAATATAGAAAACAACTTGATAAATGTCTGTAGAAATGGACGCAAGCTGCTATATATATATATGCAATTCAATAATTAATCAATATCGTTAGATTCGCTTAGCGAGACAATGCATCGTCGGTTGATAGAAATTTGTTTGAAGACGTCATGGACGTCTCTTTATTTCATTTTTCTCTTTTCGCCATTTTTTCTTTCGACGTTTTATTTTTCGTCAATACGCTTTTCGCCATTTTTACCTTTCGACATTTTCATTTTCGCCATTTTTCTTTCGACATTTTCACTTTCGACATTTTTTTTTTCTACAATCTGCTTTTCTACGTCCTGTTTTTCTACATTTTGTCTTTCGACGTTTTCTCTTTCGACATTTAACCACCTATTCTTTTTTGAATAGCCAACAAGAATATTGCTTTAAAATCTCGTGTCATGATAAATTTAACAGGATGTTTTATGTAGAGTGGTCATTTGCCGTCATTTAGGCATTCTCAAGAAACTGAGGAAAAGAATATGGAATGAATCGAAGCTTTTCTCTTGCAATATGTCAAGAAAAGGAAACTATTAAACAAGGCACTACTTAATCATCGCATTCAACTCAAACGAAATTGTAAACAATTGATGTTAATATCGAAGAGTTTTCACATGGTGCACAGACTTTTCAAGGCAAACAGAAAAAAATCCAGTTGTAAAATAAAATTATGTCGTTTGTTTACTTTTTTTCTTTTACTATTATGAAAACATTAGTTTCCACTATCATCTCATCTATATATATAATTTTTCGATAAATCTCAAAAAAGCAAAACATTGTGTAAAGTAAAAGATTATGAAATTTTGATTTTCAGAAGTGCGCTGGAATCGTTGACTAAAGATTTATCAATTATGAAAGCCGAATGTTATTAGCTTTCATCAACTATTAGTTATAGACATCATAATATGGGTCTGGATCAATTTTTCATGCAGAAAAAAAATTAAGTCTCTTCTTATTTTTTGATGAAATGCCATTTTATCCCATATAAAAAACAAGCCTAAAAATCTGATTAAAATCGATTTTCGAAAGAAAAATCGGTAAAAATCAATTAAAAGTAGTCAATTCTGATTAAATTCGAGCCAAGAATCGATTAAAATCGTTTTTTCTGGAAAAATCTAAATAATCGATTTTAATCGATTTACCTTGGTTTTAATCGAATCAAGTAATTGAGCAATCTTAATTGAAATAGTTTATATATATACATAAAAAAAGCTGTTAACGCAATCCCGGTGGAATTAAAATGTGAAACACGGTGAAGCTGCTTGGATTGTACAATACGGTTTGTAATGATCCCGTAGTGGTGTCTGTCATGGTCTGTGGTAAACCGTTTCTAAAGTGTTTGTCACGTCTGTGGGGAGAGCGGGGCGAGAGGTGGACGGGTGGATGCAAATTTCTACCCTATACACTTCAACACTTCTTTTAGATCGTGTTTTACAAAAACCAAGGCTGGAAATAGAATTAAAATCTATTTGCCAGCGAAAAATTGCAAAAAGTTGATTAAAAGGGGTAAAATCTGATTAAATTCGACCCACAAATCGATTAAAATGGAATAAAACCAAGAAAAATCGATTAGTCTCAGTGGTAATCGATTAAAATCGATTAATGAAGTAACTGCGCAATCTCAACTGAAACAATCTATATACCAGTTCCAACATTATTGTATTTGTCGAGTTTCAGTTTCATGGTTTATTGCCATGGTGGAATCCAAAAAACAATGAAAAAATTATGGTTCCGCGTTCGAATCTCGAGAAAAACACATCTTTTATGTGTATGATTAAAATCGATTACGAAGTATGAAGCGATTAAAATCGATTATCAAGTAAGAATTGATTAGATTTGAAAAACAGGTAAGACTAGATTAAAATTGAGAAACAGGTAGAAATAGATTAAAATCGAACAACAAGTAAGAATAAATTAAAACCATTAAGAAATAATAATAGCTCAAAATTGATGTAAAAAATGGGCGTAGCTTCCCAAAAGCGCCCAAAAACTAAGCCAATTAGTATAAAAATGGGCGCTTTTGTGGAATGAAGGAAATTACATTGATTTAATTTTCATTGCGTTCCTAAATGCGCCCACTATTTGAGTAATGAATAATCATCAATCGTGATATGAAATATAAATTTTATTGATAACACAACAATATAAACAATAACCTGGTCAGATAATTTTGGAGCATGATTATGACTTCCGCCATCGGATTTCATAATTACATCGTTTTTTAAAGTGATATGAAGAGCACAGGATTAGATTGTACAGACGTACACGGCCGAGCCGTTTTGATTTTCACGTTTAAGGCGATATAAATAATCATTATAACGAATTACTTTT